TGCTCTCAATGAATTTAGATCTCAAGGGATGAGTGAGATTCCTCCTTCAAATGGGCAATTATAACAAACGGTGACCATTCTTGTGGTGGAGACAGGTACAAAATACAGTAAAGGAGGCGAGGGGAAAGCACTCAAGTTTTCCCTTAGAAATCAGGGAGGAGACAGGGAATGAGTTGAGCCTGGAAGGGTGAGTAGGAGACATCAAAGGGCAGCCCAGGCAGACAGAGGAGCAAGTGCAGACACGGCTGTGAGAACCCTGCCGTGCTCGGGAGCTAGAACAATGAGCTGAAGCTTCATTGTGGCATAAAGAGGAGGAGTGGGGAAGGGAAATGAATCCGGACTGACAGGTGGGGCCCAGATCCGAAATGATTTCTGTGTGATGTGTTGAAAGATTTCTATTTTATCCAGAGAGTGATGAGAAGCCACCGAAGAGCTTTAAGTGAGCGAGTGATGGACAAGATTTGAGTCAGAAGAACATTCTTGCTGCGGTCTTAGCATGAATCTGGGATGGTCAAGACCTGCCGGAGGGAAGTCAGTTAGGAGATTATAAGAATGGCAACAAGGCAGGACCCCAAGGAAGGAAGCAGGAACAGGGCTACAGCAGAACAGATGGGTGCTTTGGGGGTGAAGATGGCATGGATAATTGGATGCTAGGAAGAAGGTAGAGGACCTGGGAAATGTTGACACCCTTCTCCAAGGTGAAGTCCTCATAAATGTATAAAAGTATATATGATAATGTGCATAGATTCAGAGAGTAGAGGGGTCTTGCTTTGATCTCCTTAAGAGAACTTAAGGTGGAGTTCAGAAGAAAGACCTTGGTGGAAGCATAGATCTGGAGTGGTAGTCATGACAGTGTAGCTTCGCTGGAAGAGGGCGGTATACGGAGCAAGGAGAGAAGATAATATTGATGGTCATGGAGAGCCGTGGGAAATTCCAATGAGCACGTGCAGACGAAGTGGGGAGGGGAGTAAAGTAGATAGGAGACTGAGAAGAATCACCAACCATAATAGAAAGAGATCCAGGAAAGAGCAGCATCCCGAAGATGAGGGAGCAGAACCCAGCAAGACTGAGGGGGAGGCTAATGGGATCAAAATATCATGGAGAAATCAAGTAAGAAAAAGACTGAAAAGTGACTACAGGTGACCCTGCTGACTTCACAGAGTGGCATTTCCCTTGTGTCGATGCCTGCCATACCACAGTAGGTTAAGGAACAAATGAATCCAAGATGAAGGCAGAGGGCTGGGGATATAGCTCAGTGGCACAAGTGCTTGCCCTGCAGGCACAAGCTTCTGAGTTCAGTCCTTGGTACCGCAAAAAAAAAAAAAAAAAAAAAAAAAACAGAAACAAACAAACAAACAAGATGAAGGCAGAAAATGCAGGTGATATTTTTGAAAAGTTTGACCGAAAGGGGAGATGTGGGGAAGGTGGAAGGAAGGAATAATTTTTGTTTTATTTTGCTTTGTTTTTTAGTACAGGAAAGATTTTAAAATGTACATCTGCTAAGGAGAGGTGGAGAGTGAAGATTCAGGAAAGGAGATACAGAGCAAGGTCTCAGGACACAGGAAGATACAGGACCACAATGACTTGTTGTTACTCTCTGAAATGCTTCCTTATTTTGGGTCAGGTTCTCCAGAAAACAAACTCTGAGATGTTCATGAAGGAGAATTCCTGGGTACCATTTTGGAAACATCTCCTGTGAGAGTGCAAAAGGAAGAAGGCAACTTCCTATACTGGTCACAGCCTAGGACCTTTATATTTGTAATCCCATGGAAAAGTTATTGGAATTCTAGTAAGTTAATTCCAATCTACCACTTCCAGTGCAACCCATGGTGAGAATAAAGCCATTAAGGTATATTTGTAGTTATGGGGAGCCAAGGGGTCCTAAGTCCAGGCACGATGATGACTATCTGGAACGAAGACCTGGACTCAAGGCCAAACACAGATTTTGTTCATTCATGAAGAAAGGAATGGCTTGAAGATGAGTGAGTGTGAGAAGGGTGGGAGGTAGGTGAGTGCTGTAAACTGGGCTAGGTAGGAAGCCTGAAATCACCTAGGCCATATGCAGAGAGAAGAATATGCAGAAAGAGTAATCTGCAAAACAACTGAGATAATATCTAATGTTTTGGGGTCAGTGCTTCAGCTCTGATGTGTAATCTTTCAAGCCCCAGGAGGTCATAGCCTCTATCTCAAGCCACAGTGTGGAGCACCGGCTCTTCATCCCTTCTCTTCCCAGCTCACACAGGGGACAACAGGGGTGGGGTTCCGGGGAAACACACCTGCCAGTCTTTAAAGACTGCCATCAGCACCTCAGCTGTGTACAAATCAATACATGGAAACAGGGTCAAGTTCAGCCAAAATGGAGACGATTGCTCCTCCTTCAAGGAGAGTCACCCAGGTAGTTCTCCACAGGCAAAGGCCCCAGGAAATGCTGGGGAATGGAGTGGACAGAGAGAGAGTGGAGGGTTGTTGTTGTTGTTGTTGTTGTTGCTGCTGCTGCTGCTGCTGCTGCTGCTGCTGCTGCTGCTGCTGCTGCTGCTGCTAGAGAATAGTAGCTCAGAGCTAGGGCCATCACTGAGAACTGGCCTTCATTGACGCCATCAAGGCAAGTGGGATTATAGGGTGGTGAGCAATTGAGGAAATGCTTTCCTGGTGGAGCCCTTTTTTTCTTCCACATAGGAAGCTGTTGAGGAGGAACCTTTGGGGTCTTGAGTAGAGAGTCACAAAGGGCTGTAACAGCCTTGGATGTCAGTAGTGACCACACGATGATGGAACCACCGTGTCCTGTTTAAGGTACAGATGCCTTCAAACTGTGGTGCTGCCTTTTTCCGGGCTGGTGATTTTCCTCAGTAAGGCTCAGCATTCCAGAAGTACAAACAGAAGAGGTAGCAGGGGACCAGATAAGACTAAGCTGCCTGCTTCCTGCCCTGCTGTGCTGCTGCCGCAAGCTAGGCCTAAGGGAGGGGCCTGCAAGTCATGCCTCTACTTGAAGCTTCCCCCTCTCTCTCAGGGTTGCTATTTATTGTACCTGGGCCAACTCACCCATCCAAAAGTTAAGGAGAAAAGAAAGAAAAACAGTATGTGTCAAATCATTCCCAGAATCAAACTTTAGGATAATTTTTATATCAGTGAGTCAGATACATGTGGATTAAATTTTTCTCTAACTACATACTTGGTTAGAAAATCCTAGACTGGGACTTGGGATTGATGTTCCTGTTTGGGACACCCAAGTCGTTATAAAGGGATAAAATGTGTATTCAAATCCCAATCCTTGGATCATCACACAAGTTCGGAAAACCTCTGCTCAAAACTGTACAAATTCCCAAGACTGCAGACGACTGGTCCACACTCCGAGGAGGAGGGGCTTGTGCCCCTTTGTGATAGCCAAACCCAAACTTCTATGGGACCAGCCCAGGGCAATAACTAGCTGTGCTACCCTCATCATCACCTTTCTTATATGTGAGGGGCAGCTTTAAGGCCACAAGGCAAATGCCAAAATGACCTCAAGATTGTCAGTTCCAGGAAAGTTCAGATCACTTCTTTAGTGTTACAAAGAACAAAATGTTTGTCAGATTGGGCAGCAATCTATTTTTCTAGAGCATATGAGTCAGGTGAATATGAAGATGAAGTGACCAGCATTTTGAGGGTATAAAATAAAGAGTCAAGACACCTAGGTCTTCACTCACTCTGTGAGGTGAAGGAGGTCACTACCTGTTCAAGGTTCTGAGGTCCTTCACTGAAATGTTAAAGGTTTGGATGAGATGATGAGCAATCTTATTTTTTGATTTTCCTTATCTCGTTTCAGGTTCTTTATACCTCGATTTAAACATCTTTATTCTGTCTTTTTCATATGCATCTTTCTGCTTCCCAAGGGACAAAAGGACATTTGGTAAGCTCAAAGTTGTCCACCTTCTCTTTCGGTGTCTTGCTCAAACTTTGGGCACTTCTCTAAGCTATTATCTAGCCATCTGTTCATTCATCAAACATTCATGGACACCAATTTCTCTCCACTACTTTGGTGACAGCAATGCAATTAACTGCATGGTGCTTCCTGCAAAAGATATCTATCAGGGACCCAGGGACCAAATCTTATGCAAAAGTCAGGTTAGGGGCTGGCCCACTGGGACCCCAAACTTCCTCCTAATTAGTCATCTTTTCCAGCCCTCACTGTGCCAACTTTCCCTCAGATAAAAGCAAGAGATGGCCCACTGGGAGAATAGTGAGGGGAGATAGGCAAGGTCTAGGAGCCATCCTCCTGACCAGTGGCAGTAGCTAGCAGTTCTCCACACCTTGATGTCAAGGCCATGTTCTCTCAGAGGAATGACAAGGGGAGCCAAGCCAGCAAAAGAGCCTTGAAATGAAATGCTGGAGTTTTCGGGATGGCCAGGACACCACAACAGATGTCCTGCAGATGGAAAGAACATTTGAATCTTGAGTTTATATTTCTAGAAAAAACTCCCCCTCCCCCTTGCCCTCTCTGCTCCTGCTCTTGCTGTATTATGGAGTTTTGTGAGGTTTAGAAAAATAAACAGAATCTAACCATAACTGTCTGAAAGTGCTAAATTACCAAGAAAGACATAACAGATTAGCAGTGCAAATTAGCCTGGGTGGGAGATGGCCAGCACACTAGGGAGTTGAGAACAGCCCATAAGAGTGGTGGCTTCCCTGCCAGGTCCTCTTCTGGGAAGAGCTGCCTCTGAAGGTGACAGCTTCCTGGTGGCTCTGCAGGCTGAGTTGAACCATCTAGAGAAGCTCAGGTTTAGAAATGTGGTGGGGAATGTGAGGGGAGGCTACAACTTCTTTTAAATCCCCTGGGCTTGAAAAGGTCTGGCCAATGCTGTCTAGCCTACTCCTGGCTAGACGGGTAGTACCATTCCTCACACGTCCTCGCTGGAAACTCTCTTTTATTTTGAGACAACTTTCTTGGATGAAGCTGGAGAACATTATACTAAGTGAAATAAACTATGATCAGAAAGACAAATATTGCATGATCTCCCTTATAGGTGGAATATTTTCAAAAAGTGGAACTCAAACAGAGTAAAAGAGTGGTTACCAGAGGCTACAGGCTGGAAGACTTGGAGAGATGTTAAAGGACACAACACTTCAGTTAGGAGAAAGAAGTTCAAGCAACTTATTGTACATTGTGGTGAGTACAGCTTAATTACAGATTGTATATTATGAAATTGCTCAGAGAGTATATTTTAAGCGCTCTCACCACAATAAAATAAGTGTGAGGTAAAGCATTTGTTAAATAGCTTGATTTAACCATTCCATAGTGTACATATCACCAAGCATTATGTCACACACCATAAATATGTTCCATTTTACTTGTTCCATGTTAGGTTCCATTTTTACTTGTCAACTAAATTAAATAAGAAAAAGAGACAGGCTGGGGATGTAACTCAGTGGTAGAGCACTTCTTTATCTTTCTCCTAGGAACCTATTGGAGGGAGCCAGAGAGCTAATGATTCAAAACTTAGAGTATGTTAGCATCAAGAAGGATCTCAGGATGCAAATCCAAACCTTCACCCGGCAAATGAATGAACTTGGGTTCGCTGAGAGCAAGCACTTGCCCAAAATCCCTAAGACAGAGTGACAGGTAAGTGACACAGCTGGGACTAGAACCCAGCTTTCCTGAATCTCTGGATAGATGTACCTTCTTAAGCAGCTACTTCAAGGCTTCCATCTAACTGCCCAATTCCCCCTTGCTTATTATTTCCTGAGGGTTGATGCCCAAGGAATTTGTATGCTTTTGGCCAGTCTGCCTCCACAATTTCTATGATTTTGAAATTTCCACTAAGGTCTCGTTTGTTCAAGTCTATAGGTTACACTTAACTGAGTCCTTGCTATTTGTCAGGCAAAGTAAGTGTTAAGCACTAGGAACTCAAAGGTGGATAAGGCACAGCCCTCATCCATAAGATTTGTGTGTGTGTGTGCGCACACACACGCACACACACACACAGAGCAAGGAAACTTCTGGCATTCTTTCTGACAAAGACCTCAACTCCTCTTCCCACCTCCCACCCCCAAATCTTCAGCATGTATGCAGAGACAGGAAGGTAGAAGATGCCAAGGTAAGCTAATATGTAAGGTGCTGTTCTGGGCTCTAAAAGGGAAGTCTTCCACCTCCTCCATACTCTATGGTACGTGTAAAAGAGAAGTTTCTAGTTTACTAACAGATTCAGAGTCAGAGTACTTGGGTTTTAACTGTAGTTTATAACTTACCAACGAGACGGCAGGCAAATGGTCTAACTTTTCTGAGCCTCAGCTTGAGAAATGAAGAGAGTGGAGCCCATTTTATAAGACTGTTATGTAAATCAAATAAAATCCATGCACTCCTTGGCTCCATGCCTGCCACACAAGAGGCCTCAAGTGCTACTTGCCTCCCTTTCTCTTGAGCTCTGGTCCTGCGTGACCATGTGTCACCTGCCACACAACACACACAGGAGGGTTTGCTGACAGACTGTTTCATGGTTGAATCTCTTCCAGGCACAGAGGACGGGGCTGATTTGCCACTTCCCATTCTAAGTGTGACCTCTGTCCTCAAGTCTGCCTACGCAGCGACCCTCAGACCATGGCTCAACAAAACCACACAGCAGCCCTGGCTCTGGCTCTGCTCCCTCGCTTGAGTCCAAAATCACAAAAGGATGGACTGGCTGCATCTATGCCTCACTGTTTCAGAAGAAGAAAAGTAAGAAGTCATGGGGGAGGGGAGGTCCCCAAAGAAAAACTTCTCCTCCAAGACATGCCATGAAATATGCACAGGAGTCAGCATCAGAACATGTTGGACACTCTTGCTGACTGTGTTACCCTATCCCCACTGGGTCTCAGTTTCTTTATCTGTAAAGGGGACCGCAAAAGCTACTTCTTAGAGTTGTTGTGAAGCTTAAATTTGAACAGGCATCTGAATGATCATAAAAGAAGAGAGCACTAGTGGATACTCTCATTTTTTGTTTTCCTGTAAGAGCAGGTCTGGGCTGAATCTGGGGACAAGCTGTTGCGTTTATTCTTGCTAAGCAACAGTGTCCTGCCTCATCCTCGCCAATCCACAAAAGGGGGACCCTCCTCTCTCCACCTGAGCTGGGGGAGGCAGGAAGTAAAGGGTAGACTCCAGAGTGAGGAGCACATCTCCTCTATCTGTCTATGGGGGAGCGCTCTAAGCGAGAAGCAGCCACTCCCACTGCGAATGCCGAAGGTGAAATCCATCACCAGGCCCTGGACTGAGATAAGATAGAGAAAAGTAAATCAAGACTCCCTGAGATAAGAGGCAGCCTGGGGCCTAAAAAATGCAACTCTCCTGCCAGCTGCCCCCTTCTGCTAAGCGGCAAAGCAGAAGGCTGTGCTGGATGGGGAAAGAACCTGGGATCTAGGCCTCCTGCCTACAAAGTGGGAGGAAACTCAGGCTTTCCCCCACACCCCATACCACAAGCCCCAACCTGAGAAAAGCAATAGGGATTTTTACTGGATCCCTCTTGGCCAAAACAATCAAAAATACAACTTGGGGCTGGGGATTTAGCTCAGTGGCACAGCGCCTGCCTGGCAAGTACAATTTCATGAGTTCGATTCCCAGTACCGAAAAAAACAACAAAAAAACAACTTCTCGGCCATCCCCTGGGATTAGAGATTAAAGACAAAGGGTTAGGGTCAGACAGTCTGAATTCAAATCTTGACTCACGTGTTTTCTTTTTCATTTTCTTTTTCGGTGCTAAGGATGGACCTCAGGGCCTCACCTGTGCTAAGCAAGTGCTCCACCACTGAGCCACGAACATCCCCAGCCTTTATGTTTTACGTGCAGTCTTGAATTGTCTACTTAATCACCGTGAGCCTCAGTTTCCAACAGGGATAAAACTAATACTACTTTATAGAACTATTTTGCTGAAGACTAAACAGGATCATTTCTGTAGAACACTCAGTAAAGTGTCTGACACACAGGAATGCCTTGTAGCCTAGAGCTATGCATGACATCAGAACAAATGGGGGAACCAGAGCCTCTCTAACTTACTTTTTATCTCACTTGTATCTTTAGCTCTTCATAATTCTCCGAATGCAATTCCCAAAATAAAATCTGGTCATGTCAGTCCCGTATCTTGGATATTGTTGAATGGTAGACTTCTTTTTGCCATCCTACCCAAGTTTTTGCCCTGAGTGCCACTATATGTAAGAACTGTCCCCGCCCTCACTCCCTAGAAATGCAGGGGTTAAGTGCACACTGGAAAAGATGAGCCTGGAACAATGGCACAGGGGGATTTTGACCACACTGGGGTCATAAAAGGGAAGAATACCATTAACAGTGCCTGAAGGCTGGAGATAGGCTTCCAGGGAAGGAGACAGGAGATGACAGGAAAAGTCGTGGGAAGCAGGTAAATAAATAATGCATGGGTAGGATTTCCCTCAGTCAGAGGACTCTTCTACATGTAAAAGAGGACCTTCATTTCCTAGGTCTCCTCCCAGCCTTATCCTCATCTTTCTCTCTCATCATTACAAAGTGAGCAATAAATATTTGCTCTGGATTTGCAGTGTGATGGAAGAAGGTCACATCATGGCCCCTGATTAAAAGTGTCTGAAGTCTGATTAGAGAGGGAACAACAAACCTGGATGTCCCGGGGAGTCAGGAAACATGGCCTCCTTGTCCCAGACCCCATAACAGAGTTGAGATGGGCTCAGGCCAGGGAAAGAGGAACAAATACCAAAGGGCCTTGAAAGGTGGCCAGAGACATGCGGACAGAGAGACAAGTCAGTGAGGAGAGGCCTGTAAGGCTTCTAGGACCTCTTGTGATGAACATGGTGTCGGGTGGGCAATGCAGAGACAATGCAGAGAGTCAGTCTGCTGGCCCCAAGTTCAAGTTCTGGCTCAGCTGCTCTCTAGCTGTGCGAGTGACACTGAGCAGGCTACTTTACCTCTCTTCGGGGTTTCTCACTTAGAAGAGTAAAGCCTAACTTCCAGGTTTGTCGTGAAGCTATGAGGTGACATGGGTAAGGCCACTTTGTGCAAATGCACAGGTTACAGACTGGGGAGGTGGGCACTGGAAGAAGGAAGCACCCCGAGAATGTGTGCAGGCTGTTATGACCAGGCAAAAAAACAGAGTGAGGGTGGGGGCAGGGAGCCCCTGAAACATCTTCCTCCTTCGTGGCTTCCTCCTGAGGCCCACCACGGGTGGGCACAAAGGAAGAGAAACGCATGGACCTAAACTCTCCCTTGGCCTCAAACCGACAGTAAGAGGCAGACAGCTGAGGAGATCAGGGAGTGACAGAACATGAGTGGATATACAAATAGACAAGATTAACTATTCCCATTGTATACACAAGAGGCTTTGCTAGCACTCAGCCAATTAGAAAACTAATCTAAACAGCCACTGCTTTCCACTGCTCCCCAGCGCACTTTCAGACAGCTGTTCTGTTTGCACTTGCTGCCACTTCTAGCAAGTGTCCAAGCCTTCTCCTTGCATCTGGGTCCCCACTTGAGCCTCAAGGGTGTTTCAAGAGTAAAGGATTGTGTCACTTCCATTCCCTGAATGCCCTCCCGGGGCCTGCTGCTGTAACCTGCGGTGCTTCTCCCATGTTGCCTCCTCTGAGAAGCTTGCCAGAACCCCAAGCAGATGGACCAGCACTGCATTTTCCATGGGACATGGCCATTCAGCTGGGAGGTACATAACGAAGGGGTTTAGAGTCTGGCCAACTGGGGTTCAAGACCTCACTCAACACTATGACTCGTCTGAATGTCTGTTCCCTTACCTAGGAAAAGAGTAATAATTATTCCCACATATGCATGCTTATATGTATATTTGTATACAGTTTCTGGTACACTTTAAGCATTCAATAAATGCCATTATTAGTAGTAGTATTCTCACTCCTATATCACTCCTAGTACAACAGCTATTATTGCTGACTATGAGTTAGCTGAGGATGCCAGAAACAGACAGTGCAGGTGGAACTACAACTTGCTTTTAGTCAATAGGACGTGGCACAGGCAATGCGATATCACCTCCACCCTCAAGTTACATGACACATTGACCTCTGTGTTGCTGCTGACCATCTCTCATCTTCTCAGCTTACAGGTTTTTTTGTTTTGTTTTGTTTTGTTTTGTTTTGGTTTTGGTTTTTTTTTTTCCGGTACCGGGAACCGAACTCACGACCTTGTGCTTGCCAGGCAGGCGCTTTGCCACTGAGCTAAATCCCCAGCCCCAGCTTACAGGTTTTGATGAAGCAGCTGCCATGGCAGAGAGGCCCTCGTGGCAAGGAATGGAGGCAGCCTTTGGCCCATAGTGAGCAAGCTACAAACTTCAGACCAGCCACTCCCAAGATACTGATTTCTTCCAACAGGCACATAACCTGGGAAGTGGATTGCTCCCCAAGAGAGCCTTCAGAGGGGGCCCCATCCCTGGCCAAAACTGTGATTATAGCTTTGGTAGAGGATCCGGTTAGGATGTATCCAGACTCCTGACCTACAGAAACCGTGAGATAATATGTAGGTGTTGTCATGAGAGTGTCTGTACTACAGTAATCTTTTGCATGCAAATGGACACCTAATGAGACTCCTTCATGTCCCTAGCACAGAGCTTGGCCTAGAGAAGAAGGCAAGTGTCAGCTGAGGGGATGGATAAATGAGTGAATGAGTGAGTGAGAGAGTGGCAATGACAGGGATACATCAGGGCCTGAGAAAGGCCTAAATGGGCAGATCCAAAGAGAGGGCCCCTTCCCAGTGCCTACCGCCTATATCCTTTATCCCAATCGCTCCCTCACCTATGACCCCAAGTCCCTCCTCCCTTCTGCAGCCATTAGGATTTTGCTCTGCTCCTGCTTCCTGCATTTAGTCATTCTCTCTGAATTTTTACTTTCCTCCTTAAAAAAAAAAAACCCACTCCAGCTCTCTCTAAAATATCTGACCCTGGTGAATTGGAATAATTTCTGATGGAAAGCAGTCTTGTCCAGAAAGGCTCTTACCCACCCTGCTTAGGAATGTGGTTGCTACAGATATTAAAACAGACCTGCAGGCGTCTGCAATAAGTGGGGAGTGCGTGCCAGGAATGACCTCAGCCTGCACAGCAGAGCTCTTACCTATGAAAAATTGCTGCTCTGGACTAGATCACAACGGGACCCTCCCTTCTCCAAACCCTTCTCCTCCAAGGCACCCCACCCTGCACCCTGTAGATGAATACCCGAGCCCATTTTCCTACCCATGCCTAGTACTAAAATCAGGGAGGAGTGCCATTGGTCCAGTAAGAGAGGATACTGATTCCCTTTGTCTCTTCACACTCAAGTGGCTTTATCTGAAGGCTACAGACCTCATGGCAGGCAGCTCCCTTTCCTCTACTGTCTCCCTACTCACCTCTGCCCCCAGTAGGATCCTGATCAGGCTGAAAGGGATCAAGCTTTGGTTCGTTAGAATTATCCTCCAAGCAAAGGCCAGAACTTGGGGCAGAAGCTAAAGACTGGAAATCTTCATTAGGAAAGCGCCTCACTGCACAGCTGAGCTTCTATCTGGACCTTGCATTTTGCCCCACTTAATTCAGCTCCTATTGCTGAAAATATCTAAGGTAAAGTAGAAATTTCTGTCAGTTACTAGATTTCCTAGGAGAACCCCAACTATAATCTATTCCAACCTTCAAACCCAACATACTCCCAATAATTATAACAGTTCACATATTGCCTAGCCCACTCTGTTTGCAAAGTACTTTTACATACAGTATTTCTCACAAGAATCCTATCATTTTTTAGGCCCATTTAACAGATGAGTGAGTGGTGGCTCAGAGAAATTAAGTTTCCCCAGGTACATAGTGAGCAAGTAGTAGAACAGGAACCTAAACCAGAGTTTATTGACTGATAGCCCTGTACTCTTTCCTTCTACAACTCACTCCCTTGAATCTATATGTTCATCTGCCTCTAATTCTGCATTTCATTTTCATGTTGATCAAATGCTGGAATGTACACATGACATTGTCCATATTCTGCCCTTCTGGCCTTAGTCACCACCCCACCCCATGCCAGCCTCTAGAGAGCAGGGTTGAGTGGCTTTGTGCAGATTAGCAATGATTGACCATTGGCCTTCAAGTCTGGAGACCAGGATTTTAAGTTCTGCCTCAACCACTAATACAAAGTGTGACTTTGAATGCATGACCTCACGTGTCTTGGCCCTACAGTGTAAAGCTGAGAGATCAGATGATCATTGGGATCACTTCTAGCTCTAAATCTATGATTCTTTGATGTAATTAGCTCATGAGGAGGGAAAATTTCCCAAGTCAAGGGGAAATGGTTTGGTCTATTGCACAGCTAATGCTATCTGGAGCTTGGGCTGGTAATGGGGAGCACTTAGCTTGCTGCTGCAAAGATACTCAGAGGATCCTGTTTCTTAAATCCACCCCAATGGGTCCCTTCATTCCTGGCTCTTTTTTTCCCAGCCTTTCACAACATGTCACTGTGACTTCTTTTAAGAAAGATTATGAGCCCCCAAAGTCCTCTGTCCTTCACTCTCATTGACAATGATTATTTCTCAAGCGGATTTCACACCAGACAGGCTGGCACTTCACTGATCTCTTCAGGATGTCTGTGAGCCTGGGGTGAAGGTTAGTCACAATTCCCAGTGCTCAAGGAGACCCGAGGGGGCCTTGCAGCTGCTCCCAGCTGTCTGGCTAAACAATGCAGATCCTGTCAGGTCTCTCAGCTGTGCTTCCTTCAGAGACTATTCAGATTGCAGTGTTCACTGGAGGCATCTCAGCTGCTTCCTGCTCCTTGAGTCTCAGCATGGATTCCCAAGCAAAGACAATCAGCCCTGCTCCGCATCTGATTGAGCTCCCAGGAGTTTGGGGCATGAGAGAGTTTCCCCATTATCTCAGAGCCAAGAGCCAAATTTCTCCGGCTAGAAAGGACCAAGGTCTCCCTGATCTCTGCTTCCAGATGTCCACCAGGCATGGGGATAGGGGTATAGATCAAATTTTAGAAACCCTTACAAAGGAGATTTTATGGCCTCTTGGGTCATTTCTTTCAGTAGTGACCCTAACAGGAATCTTCTTGCAATTGTCTTCCCCTGGGTCAATCCACCGTACGAACTACTGGTACTAGTGTGTACTCCACTTTAGCA